TTTAATTTATATTTTATCTACCATTTCATTTTCTCTTTCTAAATTCTTACCCAAATCTTTGAACCAAACATCAATAGGTATATGTTGGGGATAAATTGACAAATTTATTTCTTCCCCTTTATATTTTTGGGCAAATTATGATAGTAGTCTCTATACTTTGGTCTTTGTCTCATTTTTGCTCACTGTAATTTTAATTGGTTTGATTTTGGCCCTAAATTAATAACTTTGTTATAATTAGATCCAATTTAACTTGGTCATAATTTGATTCAATTGATTACAATTTTTAGCATTTTTTTATGAAATATACGCATATAAGTGACGTGTCATAATTTTGATAGCAGAATTATAATCTTATTTAACTCAGTGTGTTAATTTCAACAAATTCAGTGATTATTTTCTGTGACATTTTGTTCCAAGTGACTGCTCAAGCGGTGAAAGTATCGCTCGAGCGAAGATGCAGGGCTCGCAATAGCTCGTTTTGTAGACAAAAGTACTAAGAGGTATTGTTTACTGCTTGAGCGAAGAAAAGACCACTCGAGCGGTCTGCACGAATTCAGCAGATTTAAAAAGGGCATTCTAGATCATTCTTTCCAATTTTCTTTTCTCTCTTCCTCCTTTTTGTCTCAAGCCTGAAAGCCCTAGTTTCTCACTCTAAATACCCCTCATTCCTATAAGATCTAGTCTAAATCTCTTGCAAGGAGAGAAGTATAAGTGGAGATATTCTTTCCTACCGATTGGATTTCGTCTTTCCGAAGGATTCTCCTAGAAGTCTAGTCTGCTTGCTTTTTGTTTGAAGATGATTATATGGTGTTGTTGTGACTTTATGACTTAATTTGATGATTGAGTTAGATTGAACTTTGTATTTCACAAAAAAGAAAATTTTGCTCAACTTTTATTAAGGTTTCATCTAATTTTCCATGTGACATGAGTATTGATGTTGAGAATAGATATATATATGAAAATGGGGAGAAAGCCCCAAATTTGTTAAAAACCCTAATTTTGAATTTGAGTAGAGAATGATACTTGGATGGGAATTTCCTCAAATTCTTAGAATTTTGTTGGGGTGTTGAAATTGTGACTTGGGAATTGATGCTTCTTGAATGTTATCATTTTCTTTTATTGCGTATAATGTTAAATGCTTGTTTACTTGGAACAAAGTTGAGTAAGGTGGCAAAGTGAATATGAGTCCGGGTTAAGAGTCGGTTTTGAGAATATGGTGTTGTGTTGGTACCCGCACGGGGAGTAAAGGTGTCCAATTGCCCTGTCTGCACTTATCGCCAGACGAATGTGAGAATATATTTTTGGGTGTCCACTGGTCCTACTGTATTGTAATCGGCAAAAGTGAAAAAGGGATATTTTTGGGTGTCCACGTCCTACCATATAATAGTCTGTAAATGTGGGGATAATGTTAAATGTAAGTGACTTGTGTAAGTGGTTTGGACTCTTGTAAGGGACTCCTAGTGCATTTCTCTTTCTAATGCTGGCAACGGTTTTGTGTGGGACAATAGTATGCTAAAATGTTTATTTATTTATATGTCGATTTATTTACCTAATCGGTTCCTTTATCAATATTAATTATTTTATGTTGTTTTAATTATAAAGGTGCCATGTGTTTATTCAAATGATTAGATACTTAGTTAAATGTATTCTTATTAGATATATAGCTCAACCCAAACTGATTTTTCAAGAACTGGTGAGACACCACCACAGTAGTTTGAAGTTGCACCTTTATTTTGCTGGGAAGCTGGGTCCAAGAAATTTAATCGTGGAATTGTAGAGTTTTGTGTTACTACAAATTTATTTTGTTGTATTGGACGAAAACTTGGAAACTTTTATATGCTTTAATGGCAAGTTTTTTTTGTATGGTCTCCTAGCTTATTGAACTTACCCAAGGACATAGACTGGGATTAATATGTAATCATAGAATTGAAATGAGAAAGATGACTTTATTGTACTATACTGTGCATGGTTGTAGTATATCAATTACATATTAAAAGCCTAGCAACTACCTATTATATAATTATCATCTAAACACATAATAAAAATTAATTTGATAAAATATATAAGTGCATAAAAGATTTATCAATTTTACATAATTTTATTTTTGGTGGGTAGAAATAATTCTTAAAAATTCAAAAAATATTTTTTTTGACATTTATTTTTTGTCAAATTAGTTTATATTTTATTAAATTGACGATTTTGCCCTTAAAATTGAACAATGATATTTTTCATTGTCCTTATTTGGAACAAGATTCAAAATTCAGGGTCAAATGTATTGCAATTGAAAAGTCAGGGATCAAAGTGACACGAATCCCAAACTATAAGGACTGTTAGTATAATTCACCTCTTTTTCTTTTTCTTTTTTTTTTCTTTTTTTCTTTTTTCTTTTTTAATATCTATTTTATTTTCTTTTTAGATTCACTTAATTTAATACTTTTTATTTTTTATTTTTACTTTTATATTTACATTCACTTAATCTAAATACGCTTAGAAAATAATTTGCTATGTATTATTTTTGAAAAAAAAAAGTTATTAATATTAAATAATAATAACAACAACAAAAATATATAATAATAAAAAATCAGTACATGTTTGAATTTATAATTTTTTTTACCAAAATTTTACTTTTTAATTCTACTTAAATTATTAGATATTAAATTTTCATGTAAAAGTATAATTAATTATAAAACATGAAGAAATTTCAAGTATCTTTAATCGCAAAAACTAAGAAAATATGAAAAATCAAAAATTGAAAAACATATTTAAAAACTAAAATTAGAGAAAGTGGTTCTTATCTAGAATTTTGACATAATACCTTGGTTATTAAAGTACTATGTAAAATATTACAGTTCATAAAATATAATTTAAACATAGTGTATGAAGATAACCTATGAAATTTTGAGATGTAACACAAATCTATGTTTTAAAAATGCATGTATTTTCCTCTATCTAAATTCAAATGAATGTATACAACTTTAAGATTAAACCAAAATTATTCATAGTGATTTGATTCATGATGGATAATTACAAATATTATGTATATCAATATAGAAGTAGATATAGGAAATAAGAAAGAGTTATTATTTTTTATTTTTCAATCATCATCAATGTAAACAAAATAGAGATATGAGTGTTTTTTTTCTTTTTTCTTTTTTTGGGATAAGAGGGGAGACAATTTGTTTATATTTATATAAGACTTTGGGAAACATATATATCATTTTTGAGTGTTTATCTCCAAAACTAAAAAGATAGTTGTTAGTATATAGAATTCTTCATAATTTTTAAAAAATATAATAGATTTGAGAAGTTAAAATTGAGATTTAAAAAAAATAGAAAACATGACAGGTTGATGGACAATCTAAACACAATCTTAGACTCTACTCAAATAACTAATATCACTTTATCTTCCTTATTAATAAACTTGTTCATATTAATTCTCTCAAATATACTTTCATAATTAGATTTAGAAGAGTCGAAATGCAAAAAATTATTTAAGGGGCATTTACACTCAAATTTTAATCTATGGACTTATACTACATTAAGTCTTAATTAAGATTTTTTAGACCTTCAAGTCATATTAAATTTTTAATAGTCAGAATTTGCTCTTCAAATAATGATTGTTTATCATTTATGATTATCTAGAAATGAATATGATGATTTGACATTTATTTTGATTTTCAAAACTTTAAAACATCAACTTTCAAATTGAAAAAACTAAAAAAAAAAAAAAACAAGTGAAAAAAAATGTTTTTTTTTTGAAAAAATTTAATTATTTTTTTTGTACAAAACTGACAATTTTGTGTCTATAAAGGAGTATGATGGTGGAATATTGACGTGCAAAATTTTAAGAAAAAAAAATTAGAAATGAAAAATTGATAATGTTACTAGTTTTAAAACTGAAAAAAATTGATAGTATTCTCGATTTTATTAGATAGTTAAATCAAATTAATAAGTAAAAAGACAAAAACGTATAATCTCATATTCTGTTTTTTTATCAGTTAGTGAAATAATTATCTAGAACATTATTATGTAAAAATTGATAATATTTTTAATTTTAAAAATTAAAAAAAATTGATAATATTCTTATTTTTACTAAATAAAACTTATTAAATAATTTTATTTTTTTTTAAATAGAAGCTACCATAACATTTATAAATAGTGCTTTTAAATAATTAACTTATCATTTAACCAAGAGTAATGTTAGAAATTTTAAAAATTATATTAAAATTTTTACTAAATATCTTACCTGAGTATGTAAAACATACAAATCAAATATGAATTATACACCCGTATAAAATTTTTGATAAAATTTTTGGGAGTCCTAATCAATTACCATGGAAAAGGGGTCGCCGCACAAAATAATGGTATTTTTGAAATTTATTGGATGAGAAAGGGCCAAAATGTGAACATGTGATATTCGTTAGTCTCGTGGATCTCCCTTTATTATTATTCTTTGCTTTATATATTTGGTCTCAAACCTGAAACCTTTATTTTACTTTCCCGTTGGATGTGTCGTCCTTCGTTTTTGCTTCACTTTGGTGTTGAGTTTTGACCGTTGCTTTTTCTCAACGTCTCTCTCTCTCTGATCAACCTAAGCTGCTTCATCTTATGCCCCTACCCACCAAACCCAGGTACGAATCTTCACCTTCCACACCCGCATTGTGTTCTTCTTTTTCAGTTTCTTAGAAAAGATCATGAAACCATCTTCAATTCTTCAAACTTCATAGAGGTTTGTTCTTCAACATCACTTGCTCTCAACTGTTTGTTTCACTGGAACACAAATTTCAAAGGTTGAATTTTTTTGGGTTTTTAATTTCCTATGGTTAGGTGAGGTTGAATCTTTATATATCTTAAACTGAAGATATGCATACCCTTTTTGAATTTTAATTTTAAAGTTTCTGTTCTCAGTTTTTCAATTTTGATATTCTCAAATGGTTTTTGTTATTATTGTTATTATTATTATTATTTTTTTTTTTTTGTATTCTATGTTCAGATAAGTTTGATTCTTGATTTCATTTCAGGTAATTTTAATGAGTGCTGTTTTGAATGCCAATCACATTTTTTCAAAAGCGGTTAAAGCAGTTCTGTGTTTGCGTGCTTCTCTATGCTTCTAACTTTTTCTTTTTATTTGGCCACTTGTAATGCTTTAGGAAAAAAAAATTCCTTCTTCAAAAAGAAGTGTTTGTGTTTTAAAAATCATCATCTATACATATTTTTTTGGGGTTATTTTCTATATCTCAAATATGGTCCTTCCTATATTCCTCTTTCTAATTTTACTATTTTAGAAAATAATTGACATGATTTACTTCTGGATTTCCTCAGGTGATTTTGCTAATAATCTTTGCAAAATAATTCTTTTTATTTCATAATTGTGTCTCAATTTTTGTGATTATTTTTTCTTGAGGGTTGAGGCTATGGAATTCTTTGCGAAATTGTAATATTGAAATGTTTTGAAGCCAGACCCCCCCATCTTTAATCTGTGGCTTGGGAACTAAGAAAAGTACCTCCCATCTTTAATCTTTTCATTTCATTTATGTTTTCTTTGTATATGAACAGATGTATAATTTTAGTTACCTGATAATATAGTATTTAAGCTTTTTAGAGCTTTGATATGCTCTTTCCTTTTCTTGTTCCCTACATCTTTGATGATACTTCTCTATGATGAAATTAGAGCTCTTTTACTTGCTTCTGTTCAACAGCTTTTGCAGCTCCTTTGTTTACTTTGATTACAGGGGCTGTTCCTTATGAATCTGGTGACCATAAAAACACAGCAATTACCTCGTGATTTCCATTTCGATTCAAGCTTGAAAAACTCAGAGTGTTGAGAGAAGTGTGAAAAGAAAAAGAGAGTTGAATTAAAAAGACAGAGATGGGATGTTCTACATCGAAGTTGGATAATGAAGAGGCTGTCCAGCTCTGTATGGATCGAAAGAGGTTCATTAAGCAAGCTGTTGAACATAGGATGCAATTTGCCTCTGGACACATCGCCTATATCCAATCCTTGAAAAGAGTTTCTGCGGCTCTTCGTGATTATATAGAAGGAGATGAGCCTCGCGAGTTCCTATTAGATTGCTACAGAACGCCACCGCCTTTCAAACGAAGCGCTGGTGTCATTTCGATATCACCAAAGTCGTTCTCAGTAACACCACTCCAATTTGAAACCAAGTCATCATCTTTGAAGATAAACTATCTAAGGTCGGGTGGGAACCCATCAGTTGCTGTCGAGGAGAGACCCCAATCACCTGAAACAGTTCGTGTTGAAATGTACTCCCCAATGCACTCTTATGGGACTGATGGGTATTTCGCAATGCAATCATCTCCTATGAATTCTTCGTTCTTCTCTTATTCTTCCCCTGGGCCTGCCAATAGGCCTAATTTTCCTCCCCCTTCGCCTCAAAATTCCCAATGGGACTTCTTCTGGAACCCATTTTCATCGTTGGACTATTATGGCTATCCCACTAGGAGTAGTCTTGATCAGACCATCCTTGATGATGAGATCTCAGGGCTAAGGCAGGTTCGAGAAGAGGAAGGGATACCTGAATTAGAAGAGGAAACTGAACAAGAAGAGCCTGATAAAAATGTACATATGCCAGAACAGAGAACTAATAATATTGATGTAAACTGTGATAGAGATGAAGTCATAGTTGAAGATGATGATGATGATGATGATGACAGTGATGATGGAACAGACAGTGGAACTGAAAACGAGCATCAGGTGGAAGGGTTGCAAACTCATGGAAGTCAAAGCATAGAACTATCAAAATCACAAAATGTGGGACAGGTTAGTAATCAGGAAACTGCAATTGGTGATCGAGGAAATAATAAGGAAACACCGGGGTTTACTGTTTATGTGAACCGAAGGCCAACAAACATGGAAGAAGTTATCAAGGATCTTGAAGCTCAGTTCATGATTGTTTGTAATGCAGCCAATGAGGTTTCAGCAATGTTAGAGGCTAGGAGAGCTCAGTACTTATCAACATCGAACGAACTCACAGGTGCGGAAGTTAAACTCAATTAGCTTTCTTCACTATGCCTGCTTTGCTTTCTGTTTTCTCTTTGTTCCATGTGCAGTTCCGTGCTATGTTACATGAACTCTCTTAAATTTGTGAAGCAACCATGTTTGACACTCAACTAAGGGTATAAGATGAGTCCGGCGTGCTTGATTAGAGATGCACCCTTTAAGTATGCCTAAATACTCGAGCATACTATACAACTATGCATAAAATGTTGGGTTAATTGCACGAACACCCCAATTATGAGAAAATATCAGTTTATCCTCATAATCTATGAACCTGTATATTTTGATTCCTTAACTATAAAAGCCATAAAATTGTGCCCCCCTTTCTAGAGGGGCAGAAGTGATGCATTTTTATAGTTCAAGTGGTCAAAATGCACAGGTTAATAGATGATAGGGGTAAACTATCTTGCTAATAGTTGAGGTGTTGGTATAATTAACCCTAAAATGTTCTAATGTTAGTTTGCGAAACCATTTTACCTTACAAAAATAAAATATTTTTCAAGAAATATAAAATCTAGCAGTGTCCTACTGTCCTTGGACATCATAAAGTAGATGAATCCAACACTCGCACACACCAGCCACCCTAGCCAAGTCCATATATTGTAGGTTCCATGCATATTAAAATGTATATTATTGAATAAATCTAGGTTTTATATGTACATGGAAAAGCTATGTAAAACCTGAAACTAGATTATAGGTTTCTGCAATTTTAGGGAGAATGACTTGAACAGCTAGATTGTTTCCTAAGGCTTCTGAAAACATCTCTTAAGTGGTAATGTGAATGAATACACAGTTTTGTGTATTGGAATTTTGATACAAGTCTTTTATGCTCTATGGAATGTCCCATATTGTACTTCATCTAAACTTCTTTTAGAAATATAAAAACAACAATTTGACTGAAATTATTATAATATTAGATCCATCATCAGCTTAAGGTATTGATGGGAAACTTTTAACGAGGGTCCAAATTTGTACCATTAACATGATACAGGTTTATATTTTAACAAGAGGAAACATGAATATTGGAATTTACTTGAAAAATAAAAGTGAAAATGGTGATTGAGATTTTTGGCCGCTTACGTATCAGCAAAAAGTGAATCACGGAAACACAGAATGGCTCTTCCTTTGAGCCAAAAAAAAAAAATGGAAAAAAAGAGCAGTTCTGTAATGTGAAGGCCATCATATTATTTGAAAAGTGGAAGCCATATAATTAATAGTACAAATTTAATTTAATTTATTTTAATGTGCTGCAAACACTGCATTTATGTGAGAAGCTTTCCTTAATATTATCCTATCACCTACCTTGGCATTTATCTTTCTCTTGGAGTTTGTAATTTGTTATTTTTTAAACTTCAAAATATATCAATTTACAAAGTTCTTGCTTTTGCAGCTGCGAAGATGTTGAATCCAGTAGCTTTAATCCGCTCCGCTTCATCTCGCTCATCCTCATCAAGATTCTTATTCAACACTTCAAGTTCCAGAGATGAGGGTTATGAAAGTAGTAGTGATTTCTCTGAGGAGTCCTGTCTGTTTTCAGGTAGTCACCAGTCAACACTGGACAGGTTATATGCTTGGGAGAAGAAACTCTATGAGGAAGTCCGGGTATATACCTCTAAAACTTCTCATTATGAAAAAAAATAGAAGTTTCTGGTGAACACATTATGGCATAATTGTTTTCACTAATATAATATAGTCTTTTGTTCCAAAAAATAAAAATAAAAATAAAAATATTGATCACATCATTTGATTGTCATGCTCGTTCACTCTTAAAAATAGGCTGGAGAAAGGGTTCGCATTGCATATGAGAAGAAATGTTCACAACTAAGGAACCAGGATGTTAAAGGAGACGATCCTTCTTCTGTGGATAAAACAAGATCAGCCATTAGAGATTTGCATACCCAGATAAAGGTTTCAATACACTCAGTTGAAGCTGTTTCAAAGAGAATTGAAACTTTAAGAGATGAAGAATTGCAGCCTCAGCTTCTTGAATTGGTAAAACGGTATGTTGTTACTCATCATCACCTCAATTGTTTGTTTCCCTGCATATTGGATGAAAAGCATTCTTAATTAGTTAGTGAATTAGGGAACCCTGTGCCCTTACGGAAACTCTCATCAAATTGCAATAATTAACATGATTCTAGTGTAGAATGGAACATCACTTCAAAATTTCGATGAATGATTGGAATTTTACGATGGATATTTTGATGTTGTATCGCAGGATATTACTATGATTTCACATAAATTAGCCTATTTAATGGCATATAATTCAACAAATCACGCATTATTTTATGTGTTTTCTTTCCCTTTTTGGAACTCATTAGAAATGTCTTAGCTTCGGATATTTATGTTTAATACAAACACAAATGTAAAATTTCAAGGAAGATAAAGGGTATATTTTCTCTCTAAACTATGTTTCACAGATGCTTTTCTTAGACTGTGTTCATAGTCATAAAATGGGGCCATAGAGGGAGTAATTATTTTGATTATTATATTTCATCTTAATCAATTTGGATGTACATATGTCATTTTTTGTTTTTGTTTTGCAAACTTCTTTTTTTTTTTTTTTTTGACGGGCAATGTTATATAGGATTTTCCATGGCTGAGCTTTTTAATAGTCTTTGGGTTGAGCAATAAAGAAAGGCTTCCAGTAAATCATTCATGTGTGCTACTAGGATGTGGTGGTGCTTCATTGTAGTCATAAGTCAAACATCGTCTTCTACTTGAGATAAACTGCACATAGCCCCTGCGTATGCATGCATATATAAGTTGCAAGGACAAACAGTTATTGGTTGTAACATCATGATGCATTTTGCTAATCTTGAACAACAAACAGGTTAGCAAGGATGTGGAAAGTGATGGCAGAATCTCATCAATTGCAGAAGCGGACTCTCGATGAAGCCAAACTCTTACTAGCTGGCACACCTTCAAAACTGTCCCGGATGAATAATAAGCACACCATTATGTCACCTTCTGAACCACACCAGCTCGCTCGTTCAGCTGCCAACCTTGAAATCGAGCTACGAAACTGGCGAACCTGTTTCAAGTCATGGGTTACATCTCAACGATCCTACGTAAATGCATTAAAAGGCTGGCTCCTTCGTTGCCTTCACTCTGATGCTGACACATCAAGTTTACCATATTCCTCTCCTCTTCGGTCCTCTGGGCCTGGGACCCCACCAATATTCGGATTGTGCATCCAATGGTCAAAATCCCTTGATGCCAGCCGTGAGGTCCCAGTGCTCGACGGACTGGATTTTTTCGCTGCAGGGGTTGGGTCTTTGTATGCAAAACAGCTAAGGGAAGATTCTAGAAGGACTCCAATTGGGTCAAAGCGGTTCGGAGGCGGGGACGGGAACGGCATGGAGGTGGTGGAGTTTGGGGAGTTGGAAGAGGAGGTGATGAGTGCAGAGAAAATGGCTGAAGTTGCCATTAGGGTGCTGTGTGCTGGAATGTCAGTGACTGTGAGCTCACTGACAGAGTTTGCTATTGGTTCTGCTGAAGGATATGCTGATCTAGTCAAGAAATACAGTTTGGGTGAGACAGGGATGTAATTTGTGGTATTTTGTTGGGTAGTTTGGTCATTGACCCATGTAATTAATTACATATCTAACTTATTAGTATTATATATAGTGGTTTACCTTAGTTTCTTATTTGATTTGCTCTGTTTGGTTGGTTACCAATAAGAGCAGTGAAAATAAAAGAAAATTGAAAAGATTAGGACAAAGTAGTAGGGGTATGTTATGAACTTCATTTTCTTTTCCTCCAACTTCTTTGTAATCAAGCCAGAAGTCTTTTGATTTCATTATCAGTAGGCAACAAATCATAAAACCTGTTGGGTCATGATAAATTTTTTGAAATATAAAAAATGCCTATATAAATCGATTTCTTATTAGATTTTCCTATTATTAGACATAAGGACAATAGATCTCACGTGTATTCATTAAATCTAGTGGTTAAAAAATTGTAAAAGAAATCTATTTATGCATAATATTACTCTATAAATATAATTGGATAAATTATATTTTATACCGTTTAAGTTTCGCCATTTTCTTACTTTGACCCTTAATATATATATATTTTCCACTTTAGCCCTTACCGTTTGCAAATGTTTTCAATTTACTATCAAAACATACTTCCATCTAATTTTGGACAGAAAATTTCACGTTGGCATCTGTGGCACCGCGTGGACAACCACATGGCATAAAAATGGGTAGATTACACTTTGCCCCTCTTAAGTTTCACAAAATTCTCAATTTGTATTTTTTTTTTTCCACTTTGACACTTAATATTTGTAATTTTTTTCAATTTACTCTCAAAACAAACTATGCTCAATTTTAGGTAGAAAAATGTCATTTTGGTAATATATTGTAAGCCCTGAATGATATTAATTTTATGTATTGTATTTGATCATTGTAGCTTCCACAGATGCTTGTAATGAACTGATGGCATAGTCGTTGATATTATCATGTTGTTGCTACACTTACTGTATCAGAAGAAAGTTTCGCAAGATGCTTAACATCACGGTATCTCTCGTCCTTTTTTTACTCTTTGGTTTAAATTTGTAATTTAAATTATATTTTTTATAAACCGCCAATCTGCCCGAACCGCCAAGGCAAATCCGCCATTATAGTAAGCATTACACAATCTCCAAATTTTTTGAAAAAAAAAAAAAAAAAAAAAATCGCCTCATAAAAGAGAAACCATGTGAAAATAATTAGTGTGCTTTATTTATTTATTTTCACAAAACTAGTTTTTGAATTTTTTTCAAAAAACAAATTATAAAAATTCAACCAAACATGTTTGGGTGTATATGAAGGATAGTAGTGGATACAAGGGTGGCACGATGAAGGAAGGGGACAGAGGGAGGCGATGGAATGGAAAGATGTGAAGCTTGGGCTAGAGGGACAGTAAAGGAGTGGTGCAAGTTTGAAAGTGAATTTGAAGAGAAGGAGAGGGGAGTTGCAATTTGGGTTTGAATTTTTTGGTTTGGGTTTTAAAATTGGACATAAATTAGTTTTTTTTTGAATAAATTGAGAAAAATTGTAAATATTAAGGGTCAAAGTGAGAAAAAATATTTTAAATATTAAAGAAAATTGTGAACTTAAGAGGGTAAAGTATAATTTATCTAATTTTAATTGCCATTAAATTGGAAAAAAAATACAAATATTAATGGCCTGTTTGGTTTGTATCTCAAAACATATTTTTGGAAAAAAAAAATTCAAAAATATGTTTGGTTGAAATTTTTACAAAAAAAAAAAAAAACTTTCAAAATTACTTTTCTCCTCTCACACTCATCTATTCAACTACAAAAAAGTATCAAATCATACCAAACAAAACTTTAAATTTTCTAAACTCTTTTTAAAAAATTATTTTTGAAATAATATCACAAAACACAAATCAAATAAGGCCTAAGGGTCAAAGTAGGGAAAAAAAAATATTTTAAGAACTAAAGTAAAAATAATAATAAAACTTAAGGGGAACAAAATCTAAATTACACAATATAATTTTAATTTACATAGATATGTTATATATAATTTATAAAAGCGTGCTATGGTTATAAATTTACTTTTCTGCACTCATGTGATCGAAGTACTTTTTGTTTGGGTCACAAGGACTGACGTGTTCTTGTTGGTTCAAAACCCAAATGCTGTGTTTGATTGGGGGATTTGGAGAGAGATTTGGAAAAGAAAATGGAAAAGGTAGGTGAAATGTGAATAAATCATGCCTATATTTCACATAGTTTCACACACCTTTTCCATTTCCCTTTCCAAATCCCTCCTCAAATCCCTCAACCAAACACACCAAAAATGTCTTTACATTGGGCCATTGTTGCCTCCAGATAACACTTTAATGCTTGGTCAAAAGTTCTATGTTAGAAAAGCTTCAAAAACTCTCCTTGAGGTCCTCCGATTTCAGATATATGTAGGGGTAATGTTATAAACTCCTCAAAATATGGTATATTATAAATAACTTATAATATTTTGTAATATTAATACTACAAAGTGTTATAATCAATCGATAGCCTTGTGGCCTAATGGTAATGGGTGTAGCACCTAAGTGCTTGCAAGAGTGAAGTTAGGGGTTCAACTCTTTCAATGTATTAATTTAATAACTGACTTTCGCCCATAAAAAAAAGTGTCATAATCAAAACTTTATGGATTTTTATAACTAAAGCCAGCATATCACTCAAATATGATAATTATATTTTATTTTTATATATTTTATCTTTTGTAAATAAAATTTTATATATAAATTTAAGAGTTTTGTTTTAAATGTTTCTTTACTATGATATATAGTATAAATAGATTAAATTGTTGTATTGACAATTAGTAATTAAGATTATGCTTTGTTATAAACAAATGACATAGTTTTAATACTTCACTATTTTAGTGAGTGGGTAATTTTTGGGAAAAATTGGGCCGAGCTGCGAGTTGGGCATTGAGGCCCAAAACGCGAAGGACTAAGTAAGAAGGCCGCAATAGATACTCCGGCTCAGAAAGACAAAGTTACTTCGGCCCAAGGAGGTGAAATTACTCCGGTCTGGAGGCAACTCACAGTTAGGCCGGTCTCAGAGTTAGTCCGGTCACAGTATGATTCTGAGAAGCCGGTTTTGGAGTTAGTCCGGTCGTGACTTACAATGGGTAGGCCGGTCAGAACTTGTTACTTGGAAGTTTGATCTAAGTACGTCAAGGTTGAACAGAACAGCCGAAGTAATGAGTTAGAGGAGAAGACCGAGCTAAGGATAGTTCGGCCCTCTGTGGCTCGGTATAGCCAACTTTACTTCGGTCAAATGGAAGTTCGGCCATAAAGAAAACCATCCCACTTGGTTTAAGCAGTGGGGGAGGGTGTAAAAGGATAAGCATTATCCTTTGGAGTATGAATCCTAGGAGGACTCTGCATGGAGAAATACAAGTCCTACCAGGATTGTGCCACGGGAAACTTATAAAAAGCCCACAAACATCACCTTGGAGGGGTAATTGAACACAATCTTTCTGAGAAAACATAGAGCTTTGTCTATTTGTCAAGCTTACTGACTTTTAATTAATTAAAACTTTTAAATTTTATTTTATTAAAATTTAAATTGTGACTAAGCCTCGTTTGGGAACCCTCTTTTTTAGTCAAAAAGTCAAAAAGTTATTAAATTAGCAAAAAAGTCAAAAAGTTACTAAATTAGCCAAAAAGCCAACAACCCATATGAAAAAGTCAAAGATTCTCCTTTCTCTCTACTTTTTGCACATCTTTTCGTAAAAAGTCAAAAAGTCATCCCAAACATACTAGTTTTTTTTAACTCATATTTTAGCCAAATAGCCAAAAAGTTATTAAATTAGTTTATTCTCAAACGATATGAAAAACAATCTATTAATTTAAATTTAAAATCGACACAACATAAATTTCAAATTATAATAATCTATCTCATAATTTATTTGTTTTAAACACAAATTTAAAATTATTATAGTTATCTCATAATTTTTGTATTAAGGAACAGCAAGAGTGACATTGAAACATATTGAATTGAAACATTAATTAAAACTTTAGTAATTAATTATTTTAAAATTATCATTTTAATTAATTAAATAATTATAATTAACTAATAATTAATTAATTAAAACTTTTAAAATTTAAATTATATTGAATTGAAGCATACACAACATTACAATATTAAATGGGATGGGAGTATAAGATTCACTCTATATGAATAAAACAATTAATTTTTTTTCCTTATTTTCCCGATGTGGGATTATCAAATAAAAGCTAATGAATAGAGATTTTCTTAATTGCTTAAAATTAAGAAAATCAATAAAATTAATATGAGATATTGAAACTCTCACAAGGCTCATCACTAAATGGGATGAGAGTATAAGATTTGAATAATGCTACAACAATACTAGGGATACTTACACATTTACTAATAATTTTACTAACACACTCACAAGTTTTGATAAGATTAACCATTACTTGGTATGAGACTCACATCAACTTGTGAGTGTGTTAGTAAGATTGTTAGTATCCCTAGCATTTTTCATAATATTATATGCACTAATTAGTGTACTAACTAGTATACCAATTGAAAATGTGGCAAATTTTAAGAGATTTTTGGGATTTGTAATGTGATTAATGAGTGGAGTCAATAATAATGTTATAACTAATGTTGATACACTAGTTAGTACATTAATTGGTGCATGTAGCAACCACTGATAAGATTTCTTTCATATGAGTAAAACGACTCATTTTTTTCTTTCTTTTTCCAAAGTGAGATTATCAAATAAAAGTTAGTCCATGGAGATTTTCTTAATTGTTTAAAATTAAGAAAATCAAAAAAATTAGAATGAGGATTTGGAACTCCTAGAATGCTTCTCACTAAAAAGTTCATTTTCTTTATATAATACATAGATGGACTTTTCTTAGGTGTGCCTTGCATATGGTATGCAAGGCATTTACCCCCTTTCTATTTTGCATTTACACCTTTTATGTATTGGGTTAGACGACATTTTTTGAAAGTTTACACATTGGTGACCTGCTAAACGGGTCCTTTGTAGGTAAATTAATTAAATAATATAATATATTAATAATTTCACAAAATGGTGTAAACTTTCACAAAAATGGTGCAAGTGTTTTGACGAAAACATATAAACTTTCAGAAATTGGTGTAAACTTTCACTAAATGGTATAAGGTATAAACTTTCAGGGAAAGATGTAAATCTTTAGAAAATGGT